CACTCGCAAAGCGAGCCACCCCCATGAGATGACATCCTTAAAAAAAACATGTACCACTGACCTTGCTACGGTAACAACTACACCCATAGTGACAAGAAAGCATCCAAATAGATGGTTTACTTTATATCTTCTCCCGAGAAAAATAATCGACAGAAGAATTTGCCACACTAGAAAGGTCTGCAACAGAATAAGTTGTTTAAATACAATAGTAATTAAGGATAAGTGCTATTGAGTGGTGATTAGTTTACCTGAGACAAAATTGGAATTGAAGCTCCTGAGAGAATAGCTGAAACAAGAAAGAGCGGGGAAAATTATCGAATTAGATACAAATAAAGATCGCACTCATTAAGAGATAACTTCTGCAACAGAAATAATGGAAAATTACCTCCTGCGGCCATTCCAGTAGCAGCAGCAAGAGCCTGTAAAAGACCAATAACAACAAATGGAGTCTTTGGCAAACTTAACATCTCGTCAGTAACAATGCCGGCGCGGTGTCGAATATACATAATGCCAAAGTACACAATCACATATCTGAAAAAAAAATCATAAACAAACTCATCACTCTGACTCATTATCGAGAATCATGATGCAACCATTATCGAGAATCATGATGCAACCATTAAAACTTTGATCAATTAAAGTGAAAAAAGTTTGAATGAAGTACCCGAAAGTTGAAAGCTGAGCAAGAAAGAAAGGATACTGTTTCAAAGGAACCAAAGCCAATTTATAAAGCACTCTATTTCCAACACCCATCACCACCGTTGCAGCAGCCGCAACCGCCACCTCCGCCGCTCTATTCTCACTACTCTCCGCCACGTCATCATTTCCCACACTCCCATCCTCCACCGCATAATAGCATGGTCGTACCTTCTCCTTTCTCCGCCGTACCCCGCCGTAACCACCGCCGTCCACCACCGTCAACTTCATTTTCAGCGTCCTCATCTCTCTATTAGAATAACCATATTTTACCCATCCAGTTCCCGCAATCACCTCCGCCCGCCGGAGCCGATCACCACCGGGTAATGTAACTGCGCCGGCGTCGGGTAACCGCCGGCAGAATAATGCCATAATTCAAAATTTTAACAATACATAAATTTTGCGAAAATGTTTGTGATGTGATGTGAATTGATGAATGATTATGATCAAAAGAAATTGAAATGTGTGTTATATTATATTCTCTACTTTTGAATATGAACCACAAATCAAATTTAATTTGTCTTTTTATTTTATGGAATTTAATTTATTAATTAAAAAAAACATATAAAAATGTTAGTTACTGAATTTATGATCAACATGCAGTGTATATATAAATAAATTGATCATAAACTTTTGTTTACCTTGGTGAGTAGATTAGGTGAATGGTCCCAATATGGTTAATGTATTTTGTGGTTTTTGTTTGAATGTTTAACAATTGACTTATTAAAGTTTATTTCTATAAAAATTCCTCTTTTTGATAAAAGTTGAATTGGCATGCATGCATTTGACCGCATAAAAATTAAATATTTTAAAATTTTAAAGGAGGATACACCAGTAAATTAATTTTACAATGTTAATTAATAATTATAAATTTATAATGTATTCTATCAAATTAAATTGAAAATTTTAAATTATTTATATAATATAATATAATAATATATTGTATTTCCATTAAATTCGTTGTTATATATAAATTAAGTATTTATGATATTTTTGGTCTAAGTTCGATTAATTACTGCTTAGTTGTGACAAAATAAATATATATTGACTTAAATGTATTTTTGATCCTCTTAATTTGGTGTTTTTTAATTTTAAAAATTTTAGTATAAAAATTTAATTTTAATGACATGGTAACGATGATTAAGATGGTTTATTATTTAATATTTTTTTAAATTTTTTATTAATTAAATTATTATATTTAATTATTAAATATTTTTTTAAAATTAATTATTAAAAATTCTAAATTAAATTCTTAGGCCTTAAACCAATTTAAATGATATAAAGTTTAGGAATTAAAAGACTGATTTTTAAAATGGAGAAATTAAAATTAAAAATCATCAAAATAGAGGAAACAAAAATACATTTAAGCCATATATATTTATTTTATTACAATTTAATTATGACAAAATTTATGAAACTTTATTTAATTATAATTTAATCATGTTAAATTTTAGATTCTAAATAATAATCTTTCTTTCACATCTTCAAAAACAGAGTTGTGTTTTAAATAAAAAATATTAACATAAATTTAAAAAATTATAAATTAATTAAATGAAAGGTATACAATATATATATTTTTTAATTTTACGGTTAATTTAAAATCATCACTTAAATTTAAAGTATTAAATTTTAAATTGAAATGAAATGAGTCGTATTCAATTGTTGTTTCGCCAATGGGTTGCTTTTTGGCACATGGCAATATTCACAATTTGATGGCTCTTAAAAAAAGAAATGGATTCAAACTTCAAATTGACTTCTTAACTCGTCTTTTTTAATAAAAAATAATATCATTTTAAAGTAGTATTGTATTAATAAAGCATATTTTTTTAATTAATACACTTTTCTTTATTCATTGTAACAAAAAAAGAAAAACTCACTTTTGCGTCGGCTTCTTTTCTCCTTTTTCCGAAACTCGATCTTGTCCTTTTGTTGTTGACACTAACTTTGTAGTACTACTGAATTTATGATTTAAAAGTTTGACAATAATTGAAACGAAAATTGAACTCCTATACTTTTCAAAAACGCACGCTTGGTTCAAGGTCCTTAGGAGACCAAATTGAATATGTATTTTACATTAATTATTAAAGTTATGCAACTTTACATGCTTTTCCTTTTTCGTTTTATTTTTATTCTATTTTAATGTTTATATATGTAAGTGGTGGTAACTCGGTTAGGTAGTTAGTGGATGAGAAAGTTATTTTATCTATTAGGTTTTTTTATTATAGGTAGGTGGAATGTTTGAAGATGAGGAGGTGGTTGCTTTAAGAGATTATAGGGATAAAAAATGGAAGAAAGAAAATTTGGATGATGTTTTCTCTAGTTTGGAACATGGTTTTATCGATGATGAAGCTTTTGAAAATGGTGGTAAAGAGTTCCTAGATCTTAGAAGGTGATAATGAATAAGAACATAAAGATTATGAAGATGAGAACGTTGGCACATAGAATATTGTGTAGTTTGTGTCAATTCTTGGATGAGAATGATGCTATAACACTTTTTTGGAGTAAAAGTTTAATGGAGATTTGCCGAGAAATGATTCTAGTCAAGATGAATTATTTGTAACAAATTGCATTTTGTCAAAAAGTACATAATGTGTGACACTTTTATGCCAGTAAGGATGACCATATACCTTAGTGAATTTATGTGGGTTAGTAGTTTGCTCAGGATGTTGAGAGCTTGCTCGCGGTGGTGAGGGCTTGCTCACGATGGTGAAAGATTCTATTTGGTGGTGTTTTGGCTATGGAGAGAGCAAACTCACATGAGTTGAGAAGCTATGTATTCTCTGGTACTTGATATACATCAATGAATTGTTTTTCCTTATGCTAAGGAAGAGGTATTTATAAAGGCTTATGGGTATGAAGTTAGGGTCTATCAGGAATGATAATTGACCACTTAGTCATAGCAGCGAGTCGTTGAATCCCTACGTCTTAGGGAGATTTGCTTTAGTCCCTCAAGTGGGATAATGTGTCAAGTATGTTCGACGAGACTCTAAAGTCTTCAGCGAGATTATATGTTAAATATGTTTGATGAGACTCCAAGCCTCTTAGGTTAGACATTGATTATCTCGAGCAAGACTTTTAAGTTAAGTCTCTCAGACCAGACTTTAGTCGAGTCCCTTAGTTGGGACCTTGGGCTAGGCATTGTTTAGGGAGACTCTAAGCCCCTCCAACAGGGCAGTTAGAGGAACCTGTTTGATGAGACTCTTAGTCTCTTGGACGAGGCATTTAGATTGATCTCATATTTTTGAACTAAAGACAGATTATTGTTTAAAGGTTATCTGGAGTCCCTCCGGCAAGGCAGTTAGATGAGACTCTTAGTCCTTCAGACGAGGCGTTTAGATGAATCTCAGGAGACTCTTGAACCGAAGACAAATGATTATTTAAAGATTATCTGGAGTACATTTTACTGTTACTTAACAAATCATCTGATTGAAGTGGATGTAACAATTACAAGATCAACCAAAAATATTTTAATGATGTTGCAACGTCATGAACCATCAATTTATAATTAAATATAATATTAAATTTATGTTAACGTTAACAATTATTTATGTAATGTTTATTTTGATTTTAATTTATGTTATTTTTCTATTATTCTGCCATTTTTTTTGCTGTTTCAGGTTTGAACTAACAATATATATTTCGGAGATGCTTCTCCAGACTATTAAGGATTGATGTGGAGATACATCTCCAGATTAACCAAATATACAAAATAGGGTGACTAACAAATTTGCGATGAAAAGTATATAAAAGTGGTGCATTCAAAAATGCATCTTGGAACATTAAGAATAGTTGTGAGTTTTAATGTTAGTGGTAGTATAGAATGATACAAGATATTTGAAACTAAAATGATAACGATGTTAATATAATTTGACGTGCATTTTGTACAAATCAATCCAAAATAAGAACCCCAACATACATCTAAAAATAGCATAGACCAAAAATTTGTTTGGAATGTTAGTTGTTTATACCTTTAGTTATTGAGAAATTAGATTTCCATGACACAAAATCGTGTGTAAATATCTTCAATAATATATACCAAACATAGACAACCACCCTTTTTCGTTTACTTCTTTTACTACAAAAATCCGTTAATTTCATTTATCCGTTCCTTAAAGATTGGGATATTTTAAATACTAAGCATAACAAAATGTCAAGTTTTATCGTAGTTTCCCTAGTTAAAATCTCCCATGACTCTAACCTTAAAATACCATTCATTTGGACATATATCTTGAAAACGTAACATTAATAAACACCTTGATTTGTACAGCTTCATGTTCTAAGGTCCCTCGCCTCTTCATTCATCCATGGAACAAAACAGAGTCATGGTAAGCCTAAATTTATATAATAAAATCAAACATATATAGGAAGAAAAGAGTGCAACATAATCTATCCGAAATGATTTAGGGTTAGCAAATTTTTTCGACGAACATCATAATCTTCGTGATAACATGATTATTGTGTGAATCACATTCTAAATAATTGTTTCCTTCTTTTAATCAAATTTTAACCATAATTTCTCTTGATGCAGAAATGCTTCTGAGTCGAAGTTTATCTTATCCTTTTGTTGAAAATTTATTGTCTTGTATTGTTGTCAAGTTATTATAGATATAAATATAAATATAATATGGAACATGAAAACACATATATTGTAATCCAGTATTGGAGCCTTGAACTTGTATTGGTTAATGTGTGTTTTGCGGGGGTATTAACCAATACAAGGTCAAGAAACTCGAGATTAACGTCTTAAACTTAATGTGTGTTTTGCGGTTTGAAGTTTCAAATCTTGAAGTTGAAATGGTTAATGTGATTTGATCAAGTGGGTATTAACCATTACAAGTTCACGAAATTATGTTGTTTTTATTGCATGCAAAAGAGTGAGCAACAACAAAAGTTCTGATTACTATGTATGATCCTATATGTGCAGAAAAACTCTGCTAAAACATCTGTGCCTCAGTTTGGAGGGTGGGACCAAAAGTCTACCGGAGCTACCGATTACTCAATGGTGTTTACTCAAGCTCGTGCGAACAAAAAGCAGCAGAAAATCGACCTGACTGAAGTCAAGCGTGGCAGCATCGGGAATGAGGTAGACCTCACTAAAACTAATCATGGACATGCTCATCCTGCTCAAGGTCATCATGGTCATCATGGACATAGTCATCCTCATCATGGTCGTCATGCTCATCTGGTTCATGCTCAACCTGCTCATGCTCATCCGGTTCATGCTCAACCTGCTCATGCTCAACCGCATGCCCAAGTTTGCACTCCTTCTCAAGAAGATTCTGTAGTCATGGTGAGGCCATTTTCTTTAGCTGCTACTTAAGTTTCATGCATATTTTTTTGCTATTGCTTGAGATTTTATGCTGGGAGCTTCAACTTCCAAAATTGAACACTTTTTATAGCAAAGTACTCCCCTTAGATTTGGTACATGGATCATTTACTAGGAGAAGTACTATTATAAAAATCTATGAAGCACAGACACCAGAAACACGACACCAATACTGGCATGTTGATACCGGTAATAATTTGAAAATTAAATAAATTAAACGTAATCACAAATGTCGGTCTGAGTTTTGGACACTTACACAGACACACCTCTTTTCAGAGGTGTCGGTGCTACGGAGGTCAAAAAGCAACATAGGTTATAGATTAGAGAGAACTCAGAGAAGTCTATTCTGGCTTCTGTCTTCGGTTTTATGTACACGCAGCTCGCACATAGAGAGGAGCATGCAGAAAGATGACAATGCTGAGGTATCGGCGAATGCAATTTCTAATACATTTGTTGAATATTATCATGCAGGGGAAAAGAAGGTTTCTGACCTACATAAATTGCTGTATTAGGCCTTGATAATGATAAGAACCAAACAAACATAGCCACTCCTTCATACACTCAAATCAAAGGCATCATTATATAGTGCTATTAAAAGTACTAGGATCTATGACTTGTAAAATATTTGTGTAGACGAGACAAGTTCAATAGAAACCTGACCATTACAGATTGTACAGTATCTTATAATATCTTTGGCTAATTTTACCTCAACTGATTTTGATACAGTCTAAGCAATGTACGTTACACCATTGGAAAATGTTGCACGAAATATATATATACACATACGATGCTTACAGTATACATTATTCTTATTTATTTGGTCGAACAACTGGATTTACATACCTTATTCCCCTCCCTAACCAAAGGTGACAGAAATTATGCGGCAGACTTTGCTCACTTAACGGGGGCTTGAAGGGAATTTAGATAACTAGCATCCTTCTTGTCCAATCCATCGAACAAATAACTAAAAGGTACTTGTCAAAAAATAAATTAGTGATTTTATATGGTCACCCTTATTGAGAAAATGATTAATAAAACAAATTTAACTAATTTTAGTTCTTCTTCTTCTTTCTTCTCTCTCTCTTTTGTAAAATCTAATAAGATTTCTTGTGTTTGTTCTAGAAACTCAATCTTTTTCTCATATTTTAATTTGTTTTTGACGACATCAATTCACAACATATAGATAGAGAGTCGTGGACAACGCGGGAATCGAAAGTCGATCCCCACGGGCAACACCGCTGTTTTATTCTAGAGCAGAAAATAGAGAGAGATGCATAAGCTGCAATGAATGAGTGCTTCCGATGCGGCGGATCGAGGGTATACCTATAAGGTTAACTCTTAGACGCTCAAGTCATTATTTGATGTAGCATAGAGTATTCGAATTGTATTTGAAACTTGTTAGATGAAATGACGTCATTCCCTATATATGAGGGAGAAAAATAATGACTTTGATATCTTTCAGACGTGAAATACACTGGACTGTTGGATGTGCTTGAGGTGTAAATCTCCTGCAATAATTTATATGATAGTCTTATAGTAAGGAGAAAATTCTAGAAATATGACTGTGTAAGCTATGGCTAATTTTATAATAGCTATGGCTAATTTTACCTCAACTGATTTTGATACAGTCTAAGCAATGTACGTTACACCATTGGAAAATGTTGCACGAAATATATATATACACATACGATGCTTACAGTATACATTATTCTTATTTATTTGGTCGAACAACTGGATTTACATACCTTATTCCCCTCCCTAACCAAAGGTGACAGAAATTATGCGGCAGACTTTGCTCGCTTAACGGGGGCTTGAAGGGAATTTAGATAACTAGCATCCTTCTTGCCCAATCCATCGAACAAATAACTAAAAGGTGACATTTGTATGTATCTCCCAGTACCAGGAGCAACCTTCAATTCATTATTTTCCCAAACAACTCTTCCTCCTGATATAGTCACTTCGATTTTACCCTAAAATAAAATAAAAATTTAAATAAAAAAAAAATCACTTTCAATCTTGATAGCACATGACAACATTTCAATTTATTGAACAATATATACAAACAAACACATGCCAAATGGAGCTATAGGTAACAAACAGGGTAATGCTTAAACCAGTACCTTTCCTCTCCTTCCCTCATAGACGTTTGTGTCCACTCTGGAGTGATGTGATTTTGATGTTACCTCAAAGCTTGAATTTGGATTGAGAATTATAATATCTGCATCAGAGCCAGTAAGAATCGCTCCTTTCCTTGGATATATATTGAAGATTCTGGCACTGAAGTAATAGTAGAAATATAAAAAAAAATATAGTTTTCAGATTATCATCAAACACTTTTTTAAAATCAAAATAATGATTAAAAAAATGAATTCCTTTATTTCCATAACAGGATGCTAATTTTTACTTTGATTCACCAAAAAATTTACCATTCGGTGCTCGTCAACCGGACATAGTCAGTGACAGATATTTGGCCAGATTCCTTTAAGATATATGCCAATAAACACCAGTTAGAAGATTATCATCTCCTCCATTTTACCCCAACCAGACAAGAAAAAGAAGGCGGTTATCTTACCACCATGATATCCCATACCACGTGCATCCTTTCTTCAATACCTGCAGTTTTCAGGTTGCATTGCATTAGTAAGAAAACATTTTAAAATCATCCAGCATGTATTTAAGTCGCAGATGCCTAAGGTTAACGTGTGATTACCATTGACACCATTAGGAATTTTTCGGAAGTCATCAATTCCAAAAGATTTCTGGGTGGAATTGAACACACAGTGATCAGTTCCTACCAGCTGCAAATTTGTAAAATGCGCTCTTTGGTCAAATGAACAATCTTAGCAAAAGATAATAAATTTAAGCTCAGGGTATAGATAAAATAGAGAGATCAGAAATAATCAAAACTCAAAAGTATGGTGCATGTTATGGTTGAGACCATCGTAACTAACTTTTTCAGGTTCAAACCAATTATCTATAAATGATTACTAAAGCTAACTCTAATTCAACGTGAAACCTGCAAAAGTCCTGTTGAGAGAGCAGCTTGTAGGGCCTTATCATGTCCTTGTTTCCTAATAGGGGGACTCATCACATACCTGAAACATGAGAATGAAATATGGCTTGTATATTCTTAAACTGAAGACAGCAAAAGAATATAACAACGAAAAAACAATGTAACGAGTGAAGGAACTTGCTTTGCTGCAGTAACAAAGTCAGGATGCCAAAGCCAGGAGTCATCGAGGGCTAACCCAGATAGAACAGGCTCTCCAATTACTCTTTGTCCTGAAGTAAGAAAACAAACATGTCACCTACAAAAACTAAGGGCCTGTTTGGATGGACTTATTTGAGTTAATCTATTGCCATAAGTTTTGTGACACTGTTTGAGAGACTTAATTAAAACAACTTATGGCATTTTTCATAAATTTTTTTGAACTTATTTTTATAAATTCTTCAAGATAGCTAATGAAAACAAGTTATAACATATATAAAAACAATTTAAATTTATTTTATCTTTTGTTACAAAAATAGCTTATGCGACCTTATTCATAAGCGCTTATTTTGAAGCAGTTGTGCTATAAGCTGCAAATAAGCTTTTTATCCAAACAGACCCTAAGTCATTTGGGAACAAAAGCACTTAAGGTCAAGATGGAAACAGCAAACAAGTAGGGAAGATCACTAAAATTAAGTTCAGTAAATCTTAAAACATCACACTTGAAACATGTTAATCCAAGGTTGCCAAACTCAGATCTCGGCAAACTAGAGATTTCTCCGTAGACTAATACAAAAGTAAAAAATGTTTAAAACATCCGTCATAATATGCAGACACAATTTAACAAGTCAATAGCATGTGCATAAGAAATGTTCAACATCTATCTTAGATTTTGTAATAAAGCAGACAAAAGATTACAAACTTGGCATTATAGAATCACTTTTTTTTACAAGTTTGAGCAAATGAGGTCTAAGTCTCAGAGTCAGACTCTCGATTAAGTGCAAGTGATTTGACTATATGAGTGGCCCCAGTTTTCTGTATGGCAAAGTACATTCAACATAATTGCATACGAGAATATTGTTGTGCAAACATAATAGTTTTTCTACAAATAGACTCTTAATGTTATCTCTATATGTTGTAATTGCATGCTCTCTCTAAATAATCTAGAATAAATTACAAGGATTGAAGTTAAGAACCTGATTTCCTGGCTCTCGCAACTTCTTCCATTGCATCAATGCTCATGACATGAACCACATACAAAGGAGTGTTTACAAAATCTGCTAAGCGAATAGCACGAGCAGTTGCCTCTCCTTCTAACTACACATGTTAAGTATCCAAGTCAAAAAAAGAAATGTATTATAAGCCATACTAACAGGTATTTAGATGTTAAACTTAACAGTAATCATAGAATACAACAAAACAAAACAAGTAATCAATCTGATGATTCTGATCATGTACCAACTAAACGAGATTCATCAACAGAGATAAATAAAAAAATTTGATCAGAATGAATGTAGAACTAGAGTGATTACAACTTAGCAGCATGCAAATTTTGACAAGGGTAGCTAAAAGCAGTTAATTTGGCTCAAGTATAAGCACCTAAATCCAGTGCACTGTGAAGTAAGTCGACTAAGTGTGATTGTTAGAGATGTAAAGGGGTGGCTGAAAAGTGAGGAGAAAATATCATATGACGTATGACGTAGTAAAATAGTCTAGACGATGAAATGAAACCAGACATGATCAGTATCTGTATTCCATTATTCTCTTCAATTCTATTATTCAGTAAACTATTTATTAAAAAGAGCAAAAATGAGACTAACCACTGGAGGCCTTGAAAGAGCATGCCCCTCGGGTCCAGTTATTCCAAGCTCTATCATCTTCTTTTGCCCTTCATCCACAGCATCTCCGTTTTCTGCATGGACCATGGCTAGGGCACCGAGAGACTTGCACTTTTTAAATCCTTCTAGAAGAAGCTCATCACTGATCATAAGAGCTCCTTTGTAAGCCATGAAAAACTTAAAAGAATTGATACCTACAATCAGAAAACAAAGATGTACTTACTACGGGAAATAAATTCCTTAGAACCCTTCCACAGGGTTATTGCCTCATAATAAACCAAATTATCAAAAATGCAAAAAGGAAGTAAACTATAACCTTTCTCCTTGACCATGAGCTCCATTTCTCTTGCAACTGTTTCATCCCATTTGGTAATAGCCATATGGAAACCATAATCCATGCAAGACTTCTTCGCCTTCTTTTCATAAGCTTCGAAACCGGCCGTTAAACTCCCGTCAATTGGTATGACAAAGTCAATGTGCATTGTAGTCCCACCAGCCAATGCTGCGGCCTGGCCACTGAAGAAGTCATCCTTCGTTACAGTGTTCATAAACTCAAACTCTAGATGAGTATGAGGATCAATGCCTCCTGTTAGTAAACAAAAAGATGCAATCATATGGTATGTCAAAATCTGATGATGATGTCAAATTGACATCATCAAACTTCATGCATACAAGTGACATCGCTATGGTGATTCATTTCAGAAGTATTTACAAGTAGACATTGAGTGTTTAACTATTGTATAAGTGTTAGAGCATCAACAACAGTAGAACCCATCTTAGGATGACTAAGTGGACTCACTATGCCACATCACTTTTAATTTAACAAATCACTCATTTTTCACACCAATGATGTAGTGACTTCAATTGGTCCCACATTGGTCTGCATAAGTGGGCCATATTGTTCCTTTGAATTTCACACAAACATTTACTATTCTTATTTATTGCTAAGAACGGATTGCTTTTATAACAACATATTTTCACCCTAGATATGAAGTGGAGCACTCCGATGGTAGAACCTCAAAGAACTAATAAGAACCTACAAAATACCAATTCAAACACAAACACTAAACACGATACGTAAGTGATCGTATGTATCCACATGCATAAGTGTCATATAAATGTTAGACACCGACACGAGTAAGATACTCAGACACACCTTCAATCTAAAGTGCCAAATGTAAGCAAGGTTTTAAAAAACTGTTGCGGCCAGTCATATAGGTGTAAGTACTACATAGTTAGAAACCAGAAAGAATCATCATTGGAAGTGTTGTAAGATTAAAAATCAAAGGTCTAACCTGGCATAACAAACTTGCCAGTAGCATCTATGACACGCACCTCATCTCCAACCTGGCAATAGAAATCACAACTTGCAAAAGTGAGTTTAACAGTAAATTTTAGCATACAAATCACGTTCAGACTTATAAACTACAAATCCTAACTTCAATTATAATCAATTCTAGAACGCAGAATCAATCCTATCTTCAATTATAATCAATTTTGGCTTTAATTATAGAAAGCAAAATGAAAGAATAATACAGTGATAGTTGGATTGACGGCAACAATGACGCCGTCTTCAATATAAACATCAGCGATTTGCTGATAATGAGCATTAACAACAGTTCCGCCTTTGATCAACAACTTCGATGATGATGATGGAATTGAAGCTCCACAGGAAGACTCTCCGTATCCGATTCCAGCTTCACAAAACTGAATTTCAAACTCCAAATTCAAAAAACGAAAACACTTGATAAGAAGAAGGAGAAGTCAACTAAAAAAGAAGAGCTAAAGTACCTGGTTCGATTGTGATTGTGAATGTGCAAGGAAAGAGGGAGCGATGGTGATGATAAGAGAGAAGAGGAAAATGAAAGCGAAAGCCATGATTGCTAAAACTGAACCGTTTACTGGCTCAAAGCTTCTTATATCGGTTGATTCTTTGTTTCCGTTTTCAAACTGTGGTCCTTGTTCAAGAAGTATATGGAGTAATCTCAATATATATTAACAGATCCAAATCTGTCAAATTAATTACTTTGATTAACTTAATTTTATTCAAATAACTTAAGGATTCAAATTATTTGAATTTTATTAATAATTTATATTTTTATCTTTATAATATAATATTCATAAGTGAAAAATTTATGCATATTTTTTATGATAATAAAATTTTTAATATTGAGTAACTAGAAAAGTATTTATTTATCATATAATATTAGAAAATTGAGTAAATTTGATTCAGATTAGAACTTTCTAATATGAATTAAACTATATAATGATAATAAGGTTAAAATTGTGTTGAATCGTCTAACAAAACAAATAAATAAAATAAATTATAATTAAATATTAGTGGTTTAAAATATTTGATAAAATGAATAAAAAAAATAAATTGTTTAAAATTTGATATAAGAAAAATATGATACGATACATAACAAAATTAAAATAAAAAACGAATGTAACTAAACATAATATTTTTAATTAAAAAACAAAAAAAAAATGCAATGATTATAATTTATATAAAGTACAATTTTAAAATAATTTGAATGTAGCTAACAATTATAATAAGAAGATGGAAGCAATCGAGAAAATCACACAAAAGAAAATAGTAACACGAAAAAAAATCAAATAATTTTGAAATACTAAAATTAAACTAAAGATATTTTAGTAAATATAATAATTTTTTAAATATCCAAACTCATACTCCCTCATCTCTCCTCCAAATCCCTCTAAATTGGAAGGAAACAAAAAATGTGTTTTGAAGAGATTTTGCTCTTCTCCCCTTCCTTCCACTCTTAAAATTTAAACTAAACATATTTAATTAAAAATCTTTCCTCCATCTACCCCGAACCAAACTCACCCTAAATCAAATAAAATATGGGATTAAAATTATAATAAAACTAAAGAGTTAGGAATTAACCTCCTTATCTTCGAAACTAAAAATTAAAAACTAAAATTTTTAAAATATATTTTAGTTTTTTAGTATATAAAACTCTAAATTAGGGAATAATTTTTAAAAACAGTGTTGTAAAATTAGACTACTAAACAATATTAAAAAAAAATAGATGTTGTCAACGAGCTCACCTCTCATACGTAATACTCTAGTGTTTCAGTTTCTAAGAATGTTAATAATGACACCTTCAAATAGACGTTTGATGTTCCAAACAGTAAAAGCACAAAGTAAGGGTGATCGATAGCCGACGGTGAAGTTCTCCAAACCCTCACCTTACTAATCGAGCATATAAAGGCTTTGGGGCAACTGTTCTGACTCGACCATAATCCTTTTGACGAACCACCTTGATATAGCCTATTATGGGCGAAAGTCTTTTGACCAACTACACAGTCATATTTCTAGAATTTTCTCCTTACTATAAGACTATCATATACATTGTTGCAGGAGATTTACACCTCAAGCACATCCAACGGTACTCTGCATTTCACGTCTGAAAGATATCAAAGCCATTATTTTTCTCCCTCGTATATAGGGAATGGCGTCATTTCATCAAACAAGTTTCAAATACAATTTGAATACTCTATACTACATCACATACTGACTTGAGCGTCTAAGTGTTAACCTTGCAGGTACACCCTCGCTCCGCCGCATCAGAAGCACTCCTTCATCGCAGCTTATGCATCTCTCTCTATTTCTGGTTCTAGAATAGAATAGTGGTGTCGTTCGTGCGGATCGACTTTCGATTCCCGCATTGTCCACGACTCTATCTATGTGTTATGAATTGATATCGTCAAGAATAAACACAAGAAATCTTATTAGATTTTACAAAAAGGAGAGAAGAAGAATCAAAATTGGTTAAATTTATTTTATTATTTATTTTTTTAATAAGGGTGACGATATAAAATCACTAACCCACATAAAATCACTAATTTATTTTTTGACAAGTACCTTTTAGTTATTTGTTCGATGGATTGGACAAGAAGGATGCTAGTTATCTAAATTCCCTTCAAGCTCCCGTTAAGCCCCCGTTAGGCGAGCAAAGTCTGCCGCATAATTTCTGTCACCGTTGGTTAGGGAGGGAAATAAGGTATGTAAATTCAGTTGTTCGACCAAATAAATAAGAATAACGTATACTGGTAAGCATCGTATGTATATATATATTTCGTGCAACATTTTTCAATGGTGTAACGTACATTGCTTAGACTGTATCAAAATCAATTGAGGTAAAATTAGCCAAAGCTATTATAAGATACTGTACAATCTGTAATGGTCAGGTTTCTATTGAACTTGTCTCGTCTACACAAATATTTTACAAGTCATAGATCCTAGTACTTTTAATAGCACTATATAATGATGCCTTTGATTTGAGTGTATGAAGGAGTGGCTATGTTTGTTTGGTTCTTATCATATCAAGGCCTAATACAGCAATTTATGTAGGTCAGAAACCTTCTTCTCCCCTGCATGATAATATTCAACAAATGTATTAGAAATTGCATTCGCCGATACCTCAGCATTGTCATCTTTCTGCATGTTCCTCTCTATGTGCGAGCTGCGTGTACATAAAACTGAAGACAGAAGCCAGAATAGACATATCTGAGTTCTCTCTAATCTATAATCTATGTTGCTTTTTGACCTCCGTAGCACCGACACCTCTAAAAAGATGTGTGTCCGTGTAAGTGTCCAAAACTCACACTGTCATTTGTGATTACGTTTAATTTATTTAATTTTTCAAATTATTACCGGTATCGACATGTCAGTATTGATGTCATGTTTCTGGTGTTTGTGCTTCATAGAATTTTACAATAGTACTCCTCCTAGCAAATGGTCCATGTGCGTTGACAATTGATCAAGGGGGTATGAACCAAATCTAAGGGGAGTACTTTGCTATAAAAAGTGTTCAATTTTGGAAGTTGAAGCTCCCAGCATAAAATCTCAAGCAATAGCAAAAAAATATGCATGAAACTTAAGTAGCAGCTAAAGAAAATGGCCTCACCATGACTACAGAATCTTCTTGAGCAGGAGTGCAAACTTGGGCATGCGGTTGAGCATGAGCAGGTTGAGCGTGAGCAGGTTGAGCATGAACCGGATGAGCGTGAGCAGGTTGAGCATGAACCGGAAGAGCATGAGCAGGTTGAGCATGAACCGGATGAGCATGACGACCATGATGAGGATGACTATGTCCACGATGACCTTGAGCAGGATGAGCATGTCCATGATTAGTTTTAGCGAGGTCTACCTCATTCCCGATGCTGCCACGCTTGACTTCAGTCAGGTCGGTTTTCTGCTGCTTTTTGTTCGCACGAGCTTGAGTAAACACCATTGAATAATCGGTAGCTCCGGTAGACTTTTGGTCCCACCCTCCAAACTGAGGCACAGATGTTTTAGCAGAGTTTTTCTGCACATATAGGATCATACATAGTAATCAGAACTCAAATACAAGATTTTAAGACGTTAATCTCGAGTTTCTTGACCTTGTATTGGTTAATACCCCCGCAAAACACACATTAACCAATACAAGTTCAAGGCTACTGGATTACAATATCTGTGTTTTCATGTTCCATATTATATTTATATCTATAATATCATGACAACAATATGAAGACAATAAATTTTCAACAAGAGGATAAGATAAACTTCGACTCAAAAGCTTTTCTGCATCAAGAGAAATCATGGTTAGAATTTGATTAAAAGAAGGAAACAATTATTTAGAATGTGATTCACATAATAATCATGTTATCACGAAGATTATGATGTTCTTCGAAATTTTTTCCTAACCCTAAATCATTTGGATAGATCATGTTGCACTCTTTTCTTCCTATATATGTTTGATTTTATTATATAGATTTAGGCTTACCACGACTCTGTTTTGTTCCATGGCTGAATGAAGAGGCGAGGGACCTAAGAACATGAAGCTGTACAAATCAAGGTGTTTATTAATGTTACGTTTTCAAGATATATGTCCAAATGAATGGTATTTTAAGGTTAGAGTCATGGGGGATTTTAACTAGGGAAACTACTCTAAAACTTGACATTTTGTTATGCTTAGTATTTAAAATATCCCAATTTTTAAGGAACGGATAAACGAAATTAACGGATTTTTGTAGTAAAAGTAGTAATCGAAAAAGGGTGGTTGTCCATGTTTGGTATATATCATTGAAGAAGATATTTGCACACGATTTTGTGCCATGGAAATCTAACTTCTCAATAACTAAAGGTATAAACAACTAATATTCCAAACAAATTTTTGGCCTATGCTATTTTTAGATGTATGTTGGGGTTCTTATTTTGGATTGATGTGTACAAAATGCACGTCAAACTATATTAACAGCGTTATCATTTTAATTTCAAATATCTTGTATCATTCTATACCACCACTAACATTTTTAGGCATTATTCAATATTAATTTTCAGGAGATTGCTATTTTCACTTTTAAGGGTGTTCTTCCACCATCGTTAAAAGTCACATCCGTTCTTAATGTTCGAAGATGCATTTTTGAATGCACCATTTTTATATATTTCTCAGCGCAAATTTGTTAGTCACCCTATTTTGTATATTTGGTTAATTTGGAGATGCGTCTTCTCATCCATCCTTAATAGTTTGGAGAAGCATCTTCGAAATATATATTGTTAGTTCAAACCTGAAACAACCATGAACAATGACATAATAATAGAAAAATAACATAAATTAACATCAAAATAAACATTACATAAATAATCGTTAACGTTAACATAAATTTAATATTATATTTAATTATAAATTGATGGTTCATGACGTTTCAACATCCTTAAAATATGTTCGGTTGATTTTGTAATTGTTGCATACTTCAATCAGACGATTTGTTAAGTAACAATAAAATATACTCCAGATAACCTTTAAATAATCATTTGTCTTCAGTTCAAGAGTCTCATGAGATCCATCTAAACGCCTCGTCTAAGGGACAAAGAGTCTCATCTAACTGTCTTGCCCGAGGGACTCCAGATAACCTTTAAACAATCATCTATCTTTAGTTCAAAAATCTCATGAGATCAATCTAAACGTCTCGTCTGAGAGACTAAGAGTCTCATCAAACAGGTTCATCTAACTGCCTTGTTGGAGAGGCTTAGAATCTTCCTAAATAATGCCTAGTCCAAGGTCCCAACTAAGGGACTCGACTAAAGTTTGGTCTGAGAGACTTAACTTAAAAGTCTTGCTCGATAGAATCAATGTCTAACCTAAGAGACTTGGAGTCTCATTAAACATATTTAACATATAATCTCGCTGAAGACTTTAGAGTTCCATCAGACATGCTTGACACATTATCCCACTTGAGGGACTAATGAACAGTTAAAACACTCTGCCTTTCATCTTACTAATGCGATTAGTGGAGGTTCAGAGTCAATGGACCAAAGCAAATCTCCCTAAGACGTAGGGATTCAACGACTCACTGTTATGTCTAAGTGGTCAATTATCATTTATGATAGACCCTAACTTCATACCTATAAGCCTTTATGAATAGCTCTTCCTTAGCATAAGGAAAAACAATCCATTGATGTATATCAAGTACCCAGAGAATATAGAGCTTCTCATCTCACGTGAGTTTACTTTATCCATAGCCAAAACACTACCAAATAGACTCTTTCACCATCGTGAGCAATCCCTCACCACCGCGTGCAAGCTCTCAACATCGTGAGCAAACCATTAACCCACATAAAATCACTAAGGTATATGGTCACCCTTACTGGCATTAGAGTGTCACACATTATGTATTTTTTAACAAGTACAATTTTTTTTGCATAAGAGTGTCCCAACATGAAGACTCGACACCATACAATCTAACTATCTCCATAATAAATAACCTTGATAGGTTGATAACCTTGTACGTAGTCTTTACGGGTAGAAAATGAGACGATTTGGTAATCTACCCACAACCACCCAAATCAAATCTTGACCTCTAAGTGTACGAAGTAAACCCGCAATGAAGCCCGTCGAGATACTCTCCCACTTCCAATTGGGTATATCCAAGGGTTGCAACATATTTCTGCGTCTTTGATGTTCAATCTTAACATATTTACATACTAAGCATCTAGCTACATATTGCGCAATATCTTTCTTTATATTGGGCCACCAAAAGTTCTTCTTCAAATCTTGATACATATTCGAAGAAATATGATAAATAATAAAATCTTGATTCTTCCATGATTACTCTTCTTAATTGTGAATCATTCGGCACACACAATCTCTTATTAAAGAAAAGAACTCCATCCACAACTCGGTTGAAACCTGGATGGTCCATTCTGGATTGCAACTTGGCATCCAGCAATTGGCCTTGCCTTATTTTCCCTCATATCACATGTGATGCTCAAATTACTAATTAGAACTATTGTGCGAGTCCATGTTAACTGTAGGTCAAGGTTTTGGAATTCCTCTAACAGATCATGATCTAATATCATTAGCTCTACCGTATGCATTTTTTTTCTTCTAAGTTCATCCTCCACGTTGTTTTCTTTTCCTGGATGATACTTCAACTCGAAGTCATAATATTTCAAATACTTCATCCACCTTCATCGTCGCATATTCAATATTTTATGGTCAAAGAGGTATTTCAAACTTTTGTGATCACTATACATCTTAAAGTGTACTCCGTATAGACAGTGTCGCCACACTTTGAGTGCAAAAATGATCGCAGCCAATTCAAGATCACACGTTTTCTTCATGGGTTTTCAACTGTCGAGATGAATAAGCTACAACTTGGCTATTCTGCATTAGTGTCCATTCTAACCCTTTCTTTGAAGTATCACAAATGACTTCATATTTCTGGTTGGGATTATGAATCACTAGAATGGGAGGGGTTGTCAACTTTTCTTTCAATTTTTGAAAACTCCGCTCGCACTCTGAATCCCAACAGAATGGAATTTCTTTGCAAGTGAGCCTTGTTAGAGGTTACTCTAACTGAGAGAATCCCATGATGAATCTTCGATGATACCCGGATAATCCTAAGAAGCTCCTAACTTCATACACATTCTTAGGTATTTTCTAATTTGTCACCATTTCTACCTTTGAAGGATCTACCGCCACACCTCCTTGAGAAATTACATGACCAAGAAAATTAACTCCCGACATCCAGAATTACATTTACTGAATTTCACAAAAAGCTTCTTTTCTCGCAAAACGGATAACACAATCTTCAAATGTTCTCCGTGCTCTTTTGGAGTACAGGAGTATATCAGGATGTCATATATAAATATCACAACGAACTGATCCAAGAATGGTTCGAACACCTAGTTCATGAAATCCATAAATACATATGGATCGTTTGTCACTCAAAAAGGCATTACCAGGAACTCATAGTGTCCATACCATGTTTTGAATGTTGTTTTTGGTGTGTCAGAACTCTTTACTCGAATTTGATGATACCCTGACCATAGATAAATCTTCGAAAATACACGGATTCCTTTTAATTGATCTAGGAGGTCGTCAATCCGAAACAAAGGACACTTCATGAGATTTTTCCAATTGTTTTACATATTTTTTTATTCTTGTGTCCAACTTTTTTTTATTATGTGTCATCATAACTTTTATAGTAAAAATCTTATAAAAGTTTATAGGTTAGGATGATTTTGTCTTGGATCAATATTTTTCTAATTTCTTCGAAATCTTTATTAAATTTTACAAACCATAAATAATTAAATGTAAAAGTACTCAAAATTGATATATAAATGCTATAAACATGTAATGATTGATTATCATCAACATATCTAAGGATTTTCTATGCAACTGTTAATGAGATATTACTGATAGTTCTATAAGTTTGCTCAAAAATCATACACTTTGACACATGTATGGTCTATTATTTCGTACGTACCTCAAAATAACCAATTAATTTGTATACAATAGGGTTAAATATGTTTTTGTTCCTTATAAAATACTAAATTTTATTTTTGGTCTCTATAAATAAAAATAACGTGTTTTGGTCCTTACAAAATAATTATGTACGTAGTCTCTACTATTAAACCAATGTGTATTTTTAAATGATTATTTTTCAAATATGTTTAGAACGCTATAAAAAGTTCCTCCAAAAAAATGAATTCAAAATTTAATTTATAAGACAAGATTTTCATTATTTTTATCATTATCTTTTGAAATTTAAAAAATTCATATTTAATTCTTCTCATCTTAAAAAATTATATAATTTGGTAAAGAAACATTTTATAGTAATCTGAACACGTATGAAAAAAATTATTCAAAAATTTAAAAATTTAGAGGTAATTGTATAGTTTTCAAAATTTTAAAAAATAACAAAGACTAAAACTATATGCATAAAATTTTTGTAAGAATCAAAATATATCATTTTTTTTGTAGGTACTAAAAATGAAAGAGACCAAAAACATATATAATCCTATAAAATATAGGACTCATTTATTCTTCATCCACAACCTTACTTATATTGGCTCTAAAATTCATTGTATTTATTGTGGACAATTGCTCATATGTATATTTTCAACATATCTTTGTCATACCTTTTATCCTGAAAAATATCCTTTTCTATTTATCCCCTAAAGACAATAATTTATGAGTCTGATCACTCTCTAATCTATTAGAAATAGCAAACTAATCGATTAGACTAAGTCAAAAAATGAAACCCTAATTTTATTTCTCTCCTTAATCTATTATTTGGCTTCCTAATCGATTAGGAGGTGAACTTTCATTTTAATTGATTAGAAGAAATGTCTAATAGATTAGCCAACGAGTTCAATCTTTTTAATTGGTCATTGGTCATAATTGTTTTTTAATTGATTAAGCACCGGTCAGGTTTGGATATTTTAGAAGAAATAAAATAGATAAAGATATTAAAAAGATTTTAGTTTGTGTGTATGCATCGCTTTAGTATTTCAAGACTTAATTTTTCTTTATGTTACATTTAATTTTTTAAAAAGACTAAAATGTGAAAACTTCATAGAGGTGTATTCACCTAAACCATATATTCTCAATTTCTTTAGACTACATTCACTATGCTTCACAAAATTTAGTTTAATTCTCTTAACTATTATGAACACACTATTTTTCGTTCCAATTAAATATAGTCACAATCTAAGCAATGTTCATTTTCATTACATCAGTGTTAAAAGTATCACAACACACATTTATTCATTCATTTTAATATACCCTTGAAGCTTTCTGCTACATATTAAATTTCCAGAATTTCTCAAGTCTTAGATTTGGCTCTCTTGACTGGAGCATGAAGGGAATTTAGACAAATTTCATCTTTTTTGTCCAATCCATCAAACAGATAACTAAAAGGAGCCATTTTTATGTATTTTCCAGCACCAGGAACAACCTTCAATTCATTATTTTCCCAAACTACTCTTCCTCCTGCTATAGTCACTTCAATTTTCCCCTGAAAATATTTATATAATCGCATGTTGCATAGGACACAAATTTGGTATCCGACAACAACACATGCGATTATATTCAGTTACTATCATTTTCTCAAACTAGTACTAGTGTCTGACATGTCAGTGTTGTGCCTGATGTCAGTGTCAGTGTCTGGTATGTCAATATTGTGTCTGATGAATGTGTTAGTGTCTGACATGTCAATATTGTGTCTGGTGTCGGTGTCTGACATGTCAGTGTTGTGTCTGATATTGTGTCAGTAAGAGTAATGAATTTTGATCCAAACAAATAGTTAAAACCAGCACCTTTCCTTTTCTTCCCTCATAAACATTTGTATCAGTTCTGGAGTGGTGAGATTTTGCAGTTATCTCAAAACTCGAGTTTGGATTCAGGATGATAATATCTGCATCGGAACCGGGAAGAATAGCTCCCTTCCTTGGATATATATTGAAGATTCTAGCACTAAAATGACAGTCATTAACATTTATGGCAACTTTACCATACAGAATCATCAAATTAATGATCAGAGAACATACCATTCAGTGCTCGTCACTCGAACGTAGTCGGTGACCGATATTTGGCCAGATTCCTGAGAGAGATACATAACAATACAATCTAGTTAGATGGCTATCCTCTCCACTTTCAACCAGCCTAACAAGAAAGGAAAAGCAAGCTAGAAAATTCTTATCATACCACCATGGTGTCCCATACCAAGTGCATTCTTTCTTCAATACCTATAGATTCACAAATTTTCAATGCATATTAGTATTAAAACATTTCAAAATCAATGATGATGTAGTTAGGCCACATATAACAAAAACCGTCGAGTGATTACCATTGACGCCGTTTGGAATTTGGCGGAAGTCGTCGACTCCAAGAGCTTTCTGGGTGGAATTCCAGGTACAATGATCAGTTCCTACCAGCTGCAAAATCCCTGTTGCAAGGGCAGCTTGAAGGGCCTTATCATGCCCCTTACTCCTAATAGGAGGACTCATGACATACCTGAAACATGAGATTCGACTCGGCTTACATCTTACATCGTAACATTCTTAAAACTTAAGACAAAGAATAACAACTACAATACGAAAAAAGAAAGAAAGAAGCGGAGAACTTGCTTTGCCGCGGTCTTAAAGTCAGGATGCCAAAGCCAAGAATCGTCGAGGGCTAAACCAGAAACAATAGGCTCTCCAATTACCCTTTGTCCTACAATTTGAAATCAACAGGTGAAATCGTATACTTTCTTTTAGCTATGTAGGGATATTCGATTGCAGGGGCGCAAGTTCAAACACGCAGCATTCTACTTATTCAACTTTAAAAGGTGAAACTCCAGTCATTAGACTACTAGACTAAAAAAAATTAAGAACCTGATTTCCGAGCCTTCGCAATTTCTTCCATCGCATCTATGCTCATGACATGGACCACATATAAAGGAGTGTTCACAAAATCTGCTAAGCGAATAGCACGAGAAGTTGCCTCTCCTTCCAACTACATAGGCATCCGAAACATTCTATAACTCCAACATACACAGATGTTCATCAAAATCGAAAGAAAAAAAGAGAACTTACCAATGCAGGCCTTGAAAGAGGATGACCTTCAGGGCCAGTTATTCCGAGTTCTATCATTTTCAATTGCCCTGCTTCAACTGCATCTCCATTTTCTGCATGAACCATGGCTAAGGCACCAAGGGACTTACATCTCTTAAGTCCTTGAAGAAGAAGCTCATCATTGACCATAACAATTCCTTTGTATGCCATGAAAAACTTGAAAGAGTTGATGCCTGAGATCGAAAAACATAGACGAACTATCTGAAATCAATCCCTTATCGGTAAACTACGAGTCATATTCAACACATATTACGACTGACCTTTATCCTTGACCATGATCTCCATATCCCTTGAAACGTCTTCGTTCCATTTGGTAATTGCGACATGGAAACCATAATCCATGCAAGACTTCTTTGCTTTATTTTCATAGGCTTCAAAGCCGGCTGTTAAATTGCCATCAACCGGTATAATGAAGTCAATATGCATAGTTGTTCCACCGGCTAATGCTGCAGCCTGACCACTGAAGAAGTCATCTACTGATTCAATGCCCAAAGAGCCTATCTCTAGGTGAGTGTGAGGATCAATGCCTCCTATGATCAGTTCAAAAAAAACAAGCATTCATAAACTTTGTCGCATAAAAGAAGATAATAATTAGCGTATTGAGGTTGTTAGATCAAAAGTTTTGAAGGCCTAACCTGGCATCACAAACTTCCCGGTGGCATCAATCACATATACATCTTCTTCAACCTGATAATAGAAATTGCAACCGGAGCATAAATGGATACTTTGAGATCACATATTCACTCAAAATCTTACGAAATCATATATACAAACTCTTATATATCCAAAGTAGTCGATGTGAGACTTAATTACTCGGACTTGAATTTCAATACTTATACTGTTTTAGGTTTTTTTTTTTGCTATGCATATTTTTCTCAGTACTAGAATTTGACTAGTAGAAAATAAGATTAAAATTAAATAATGGAAGTACCACAATATTTGGCTGTACAGTAACAATGATTCCATTTTCTACATAAACATCAGCAACTTGTTGGTGATGAGCATTGACCACAGTGCCACCTTTGATCAACAACTTGTTGGATGATGATGGGATTGGAGTTCCACAGGAAGATTCTCCATATCCAATTCCAGCTTCACAAAACTGAATTCCATAATCAAAGTAAAAACAGTTTAGTTGGTAATGAAAAAGAAGCAAGTGATTATTAAAGTGAAAGTCAACACAAGAAAAGAGAGAGATGTGAAGGACCTGGTTGTTAGAGGGTTGTGAAAGTGAAATGATAAGAAAGAAGGAAAGAGAGAACAAGATATGAACAAGTTGAAAACTGAAGTTCATCATCATCATCACTGAACAATAGTAACCAGAAACCGCAGATACAGCAACCTCAGAAGTTGTTTCTATATTTCAATGGACTTGTTTTAGATAGTTTATCTCTTACTATTATTTATTGAATTTCATTTTGTCATGTTAGGTACTTTTGATAAATTATATTCTATTGACTAAAAAAGTTAAAAGTTATTGAACTAAAATATCCGAAAAATGTTAGATAAAGTTATTTAACCAAAGTCTATGATGCAACTTTATTACACTTACTACACTTACTCTTTATTCTATTATCATTAAAATCTATTCAGTTTTTAATATTAGGAATTTACAATGGTTATGCTTGGGAACAAAAAATGATCAATGGAATAGTGAAATAAGATCTTACATTGGTGGAATAAATTTCTGGTATGTTGGAGAGGGGCTGATTTGCAACGTTAACACTTCAACGTCAGTTTGTGAAAAATGATAGGTAAATTGAGAATAATAATAAATTTGAATACCTAAAATGACGTGTTTTATTCCTTATATTGTATGGGCGGCTAACCGTCCGCGTGAGAGATGACATGTTATACGAAGACTGTCTAATTTTAATCAAACGATTATTAATGCATCTGAAGTCCGGAATCTTGGTTGAATGAAAGACCGTTTGTTTATTGTCAATATTTGACCTTTAATTATCGGTCTTGCAAACCACCTAGAACAGTTGTTCCCTAAGCCTTTGTCTCTCATTTGCAAGGTGAGGGTTTGTCACGTACATCCCTAGGCCGACTGCTGTTATGAGCAACTGAAGAGTCTTAATGAGACGTTATTACCATTGGAAACAGGCACATTAAATGTCTTTCTTGTAATGGGTAACGTTTCACAAGGAGCTTAAGATATGTGTCGCTACGTTAGTCAGTAATGATGCCTCCTCATTCTTAGGATAATCGAGTACTCCGAACAGTCCTCGATAAAATCTTGAACATTAATAATGTGTTTTCCACTTCCCAACGTAGTGGGTTGAAAAGTCCATCGCTACTGAAATGCCTATAAGAAGCTCTTTGACTATTGGCCTTCTCTTTTTCATTGCTTATGAGTTTTGAGAGGTTCTTCTTCTTCCTTGTAAGTGATTTCTCCCGTTGTTGCTATATTCACTGCACAAGTCTTCGTCTCTGACTAGCTTGGACTCTTTCTTTCTGTGCGTAAACACAAATATGAGATAACTCTTAGGTGTGCATAGATCAAGAGACATTGGATGCTGCCTCTGTCTTTGCTATCGAAAGCAGTTTGGAACGTGTCTTTACGGTGGTGGGATCCTACAATAACTTATGAGTAATTCTCCCTCAGAAGATAACAAGATTTATACTAAACTCGACGGGTGCATAACTCCTCTTCACGAATGTCTATTCTCTTTGATAGGCTTCCATCTCATTTTTAACAATTTCAAGGTTGACGTTTGATGACTTCTTGGCAAGTGTATCGATAATATCGCAGTAATAAAAATATTAAATCCATAGGGACTGCTATTTAACAGGACAATATTGTGCAATGTTATAAAAAATACTAAATGGGCGGGTTTTTGAGTTTTAATTGCGAAAAAAAATAAAGTGTTCTGTCAATAATACGAAAATGGTCAGGTTGTGTATAAAATCCCCTATTTCTATATTGTTGATGCTCGATGTATCGCATAAATTATATCATTGCTATAATCCCACAACGAATTAACAAAACCACTATATTCAATCCCTTGGTGTACAACTTACTAATCAATACTCGAAGTTTTTTATCCCTAGTCCACCAGCGTAAGAAAGATTAGACAATGCAATAGAACATTAATTTCTAAGTCATTACTCGAGTTCTCCTATCCCTATTCAACTGACGTAAGCACAACAGTTTCCCTAGGTCCAACACATAGACTAATGGTCAGTATTCTCTATGTGTCCAAATTCAGATTAAAAACAAGGTGCAATTGAATAGAATTATAACTCAAATTATTCATGCAATAGCAAATCAAACGTATGTCCCAAATACTAAAATAGGTTCATCAAACACAACTTAACCTAAAGAGAATTAGTTACTCATAATGCAAATTACAATACCAAATATAAATTAGAGGTTTGCATAATAAATCCTTTGAAGAATTGGCCTTCCAATGACTTTAAATGCTCTCCAAATATGCCTTTCAGTGTTGTAAACCCTTTCTTCACTGTAAAATTTCAGAACCCTTGAAAAAGTATCAAACTTCCCTTTCTAAAGCCTTCAAAATAGATCAGAACGTGTCAGAAAAAGCCCAAAAAAAGTATCATCGCGCACATTATAACTTGCATCACGCACGCGATGTTGCCCTTGTTTTTCTATCACGAGCGCGATGTTGCGCGTGAATATTCCAGTTTGCACGTTTTTACTCCCCTTTTCACATGATTTTCACTAAATCCTCATTCCTTCATACTTAGTCATCTTTGCATCTTTCATTGGCCTTTATTCTTCATTTTAGCCCCTCTTTAATTTGTTTTGATCTGTTTCTTCGATCAAAAACATGAAATGACACAGTGTCATCACAACTCTAAACTTGAATCGTTACTTGTCCTCAAGTAACTTGTTTGCACTGCCAATTTCAAACAGAAAACAAGTTTCACAATAACAATTGAACAATACCATATGAAATTTTATTTTCCTGACCATCGTTTCAACTTCCCACTTCAATATGGAAAATCTTTGACAAGTATTCAACCTGTCTCTCATCTCACCTTGACTCACTCAATGGATAAGATAGTCTCCAAATCAATATGCAAAATAGTTTATGTTGAGTTTGATCATGTTCTAATATAATTCATCAAAGAAATCAAAACACATATATTTGAGGGCTTTTTCAGTTGTATCTTGGCTTATGTTTGGTAGGATATTTTAGGGAAAGTAGTTTAAACATTTGGAGTTAGGTGCATAGTTCTCCTTCTCTTATCTTACCCATTTGTTCCTTCTTTATGGTACTAGAGATATTACTATTGTTGTAATTATTATGCATTTTGCATTCTTTTAATCCCTTTTTTTTAAGAAACTCCTTTTTTCAAAATTTTGAATTTTTGACTGTTCTACTCTAGTATTCCACCCCAAGACTTAAAACTTTCCTCACTTCCAAGAGAAACCCAAAACTTAATCTTTTTCATACAACTTAAGAACTACATTTCTATCTAACTCTAAAGAGACGATGAAAAGATAAAATCTTTCAAGATATGGCTAAGAAATAAGGCTAAGTCACCAAAAGAAAGATAAAGCTCAAAGTGGTTAGAAATGGATATATCCTATTACTACAGGGTGGTTAAAAGACTCAAAGTTCAAAATGTAACGCCCGTTTATTTTAAATTAAATTATTTATGAATTGTTGGTCGCGCCCGCCGTATCATGGTAGTATTCGGGTGTATCGGGTAAAATTCTTTTAGTCAGGATATTTTACCGTTAGTGCGAAATTAAAGAAAAAGGAACGAGAAAAATAATAATAGTAAAATTTGATGAATAACTATCTAAGTGGGCCAAATATTAGTAATTAAAATAGTAAAAGAGGGTGGTGCTACTAGTAAGCCCAAAATTAACAAATAAAATAAAATAATTTAACTACTAGTAACCTAAGTGGGGAAAACTAGTAACAGTAGAAACAAAAATCAAAAAGGAAAAGGAACGTGGCTGGAGGAAGTTGAGAACAGAGGAAATTAACCACCAGAGAGAATTCAAAGTAGTTGCAGAAGAGTCACCGGAGAGCAAACCGGAACTGGGAGTTTAGAGTTGCCCTCAATCCAAAGGTAAGGGTGAGGTTCAATTATATAACTATCGGTATGATCAATTACATGAAGGGAATTGAATCATGGGGTTAGTTTCTGTGGGTCGATAAATATTAAGGATGATGCTTGTGGGTGTTTGAAAAAATGTTTTATGTCATTAGTTCTGTGTGAAAATATTTGGAAAGTTATTATTATGTCCTTACTTGATTAGATTGAAAGTTGTGGTTACATGATTCGTATGAAATTGTGATGCTTCGGTTATGGACAATTTGGTTGTAGGCATAATGCCTTGTTGTGTGGTTGTTGTTGTTGTGTTGTAGTCTATAATAGATGCATCTCATAGCATATCATCTTGGTTGGCCTGTATTGGCGTTGGTTGTGCCTGTATTGGAGGCCTATAATGGCAGATAAATTGGTTGTGGAGTTCTACTCCAAATTGGTACCACGTGCATATGCATAGTTGAGTCGCATAGTGTCGCGTCATTATGTGTTTGCAAGTGATGATGAGTTACTGGATTTTCTTGCTAATTGTTGTGGATATGAATGATGAATTCCCTGGTAGGTTGTTGTCGATAAGATTTGGAAAACTGTGAGAATTATTAATATTGTGATATGATCCTGACATGAATTCCATCATGACTTATGTTATATTGTTGATATCTCACCCTTTCACGTTGTATGTCACCTCCGTTGGTGGTAACTTGCAGGTAACCCGGAATGAAGTATCATTTTTTTTAAGGTGTCGTTGGTCGCTCTGATACGTAGCACTCTTGGGGGGGGGGATGAGCGATTAATTCTATTGCTTTTAATTGATTTCCTTGTTGCTGAATTTTATTAAGTGCCTTTCATTAAATTGGTTGCCTCTGTTAAGTGCCAAATGTTGGTTGGACGCACTAAACCGATGAATCGGTAGTGCTGATTTTTATGGTTGAAACTAGTTGTTTTAGTGAATTTATGCAAGATTATTACTTGCTGGATTTTTAATGGAGTTTAGATGCAAAACCTTTCTTGCCTTTGTTTTTGGTTTATTATGAGTTGTTTGAAAGTTTATTAAATTCCGCTGCAAAATAACAGGTTGTCTTATAATTAAGATGCTAAGCAAGTTATCGTTGTCTGTTCATCCGATTATGTGCTATGTATGTTACTAAATGATCTTTTACAGGTGTATGTTGTCTGTTAAGTTGAAAATGTGACACTTCTGATGCGCTCAGATTTTGTGAGTGTGACGATCGTCACAACTCCATGGCGCTCGTCATGACCATCACG